ATTTATGCTATGTTTTAACCCTTTTAACAATTTTGTTCCACCATTGCATTTGGTGGACAATCTTGTGTTAGGATGTTAAAGGGACGGGCGCGGGTCATCGTTTAGACCATGATTGCAATAGTGCTAAGTATCTTTGGGCAATTTTTCTTTGAAAGGGACTTGATCATTTTAGGCAACTTTTCGAAAGCGTCATCGAGGGACTATGATCATTTGAATTGTGTTTGTTTTGCCCAAAGAGACCTAACATACAATATGACCCATTTATTGAAGGCAACAAGTGGAATACCCTAGGGGTGCAAGTGTGATAAGTGTTGTCCATTTTCATGCTTGTTTATCTTGAAATTAGATCAAACTATTCTTATTGTTTTTATTTGCATACAAACCCTAATTCTAACGTGGTATATTTAGAAAGCGATAAAGTGCGAAATTTAAATTTCCTAAGCTATTACAACACAATATGGGAAGGGGGGTACAAATGTTCAAATGGGGGGATATTTAGACAAGGAATTTAAACCTAGCTATTACATCAATTTTAGAATATTTACAAAATAATTAATTGCATAAATTAAATGGAAAATAAAATAAAGATGCAAAATGCAAAAAGGGTTTTTATATGTATGGAAAAAAGGGTGTTTTTTATGTCAAATAAATAAAATGAATAAAATAAAAAAAGTAATATTTTTGGGGTTTTTGGTGTTTTAAGGGTAAAACCCTAATTTCATTAAGTAAAAGGTAATATTTATTTAAAGTGTACAATATTTAATAATTATGTACAAAATAAAATAAAAATGAAGTATATTCATAAAAAAGTATTTTTCATGTCAAATATTAATAAAATAAAAAATGTATATATTTTTTGTATTATTTACCTAAATATACTAATATATATAAATATCTTTATTATTTACTAAATATTATATATACAAAATAATAATATTTAATATTTATAAAAAAAAGTATTTTTGATATAAAATGTTTTTTAAAAGAGAAAATGAAATAAAGATCAGGAATAAAATATATTTGCATTATTTTTCTAGTTTTTCTAAATAATAGTATATATATTTATTTATGTACAAATGTCCATATAAACAAATAAATACCTAAAAAATATAAAAATGGTGTAAAAAATATTTTTTATGTTTTTAATATTATTAGCAAAAATAAATAAGTCAAGATAAAAAAAGAAAAGTAAAAAAATCATGCAAATAAACAAAATGGGCTCAGGGGGTATGAAAACAAAAATAGGGTGTGAAGAGAAATGACACAGCAGGCCCAGCCCATGAAGACCTTTCTTCAACCTTCAGACAGCTTCTTGTCCAAAAACACGCGCCTGTACTCAAGTTCAAACATCTGGATTCCTTGATTTTTTGCACAAACTTTCAACATAAGAAATGTTAAGCATTGAATCACGATTCTAAATATGTAAAGAACTCATCCTAACTCTCATAAATGAGAGAGAATTTTAACATTCCCAAATCTTGACCTAACTTTTCTTCCATATTCAGACCTTAAATTCTCATAGCTCAGGCAAAATAAATGAAAAGTAAAAGCATGTACATATTCAGGGGCATGAGTAGAACACTTCTTATTCACAAACCTAGAGCTAACAATGCCTACATTAAGAGTTAGAAGTTCAAGAAGATACCTGTTCAGTTGAAGTTGTATCTGGCAATGGGGGAGCTTTCAGGGCAAGATGATGATCTGTACAGCTTGCCTGAAGTGTAGTGATGCTATTCCAATGCTTACTTTGCTTTGAAACACCTTGAATCGAGCTATGGACCTTCAACTGCAAAACAAGAAAGTAAAAATGGTGGAAATGACTAGAGGGGTTACAGGTCGTGTTTTATGTTTGGGTTAGCTTTAAGTGATGCTAGGGAATGTGTTTGATGAGCTTTTAGCAAGAAAGCGTGAAAGGGATGAGAGTTGGCACTCAAACTGCAGCAAGCCCTGTTTTTGTGCAGTTCAATGGTGATTTTGACTTTGTGGAGGTATTGGAGGTGTTGGAGTCGTGTGCTAGCTCAGTTAGGATGTCTTGAATGTGTACAAAATATTTGCTTAAGGGTTCTATTGCTGAGATCAAAGTTGTGTTGTGTTATGCTCTATTTCTTCACACTTAAGCAAGCAAAGGCCAAGTTGGTGTTTAGACAGGTAGAGGCCCCCATAACATGCTGCAAACCTTGGTATTGATCAGCGTGATTAGTCCCTAAACTTGTGCCAAGGGGATTTTATCTGTACTTCTTGGATTTTCAATTTGACATAAAGCTTAACTTTTCAAAAAAGGCTATTTCACTTTATCCATAAATGGATTAAACTTGCATGTAATGTTTGAACTCATAGAATAACACTTTGGCACAAAGGATTGGCATTAAATTTATGAGTGTTGGATGGTTTAGAGGCCTGTAATCAAGGGAAGCATGCTGATTTGAAAAATTGCACAAGTTATGCATATGTACATGGCCATGAATCAAAGTGACTTTTTGCCATATTGCAAAATTCGATTCTCTCAAGTCATGAGGTTGTTTGATGAGTTCTTGGACATTTTGGAAAGCTTGGAATGTGTAATACAATACATCTTTGAAATGCAAATTGAAATTCCAAGTGGAAGTATGTGAAAAATGGTCTTGAAGTTAGGTAAAAGCCTTGCCTAAAATAGGTCAAAATTTCACTAAGTTAAGAATGGTTTGGTACCCTTGTTCCAAAAATTGTAACTTGAGCTACAAGCCTCTTTTGGGAAAACTTTGTTAATCAAAGTTGTAGACTATGCAATAGGCTACAACTTTAATGTTTTGACTTTTTCTTGAATCCAAATGAATCTTGGTGAGAAAGTGGGGCAAAGTTGGGAAAAAATTAGGGTTTTTCATAAGAAAAATTCTAAGTTATGAAAAATTCTCATTTCAAACCCTAATTTGCAATTTTTGATTTCTTGGTGAACAAGTTTCATGATTTGGCATGTTTTGATGAAAAATGAATCTTGACTCTTGATTTTGACCAAAAAGTCAAAGTTTGACTTTTCAGTATACAGTCAAAATTGATCAATTGACTGGGAAATTCAACTGTCAATCTTGTGTACTTGGGATCTTTTGAACTTGTTGAGCATGTCAAGATAATTCCATGGGGTCCTTGAGTCCATATGTGAGCTTGGTTTGCTATTGGCTAGGTCAAATAGTCAAAAATTGCCTTTGTGCAGTCAAAACCCTAAAAATGACCATTTTGCCCTTTTGGTGATCTGATCAAATTTCTTGTGGAATTGTGATCCAAACTTGATCAAATGGTCCATGTGAGTTCATGATGTTGATGTGGGTCAATTTTCATGAGGTTTGACTGTCAATTGGCCACAGTTGACTTTTTCCCCAATACAGCTGATTTCTAGGTCAACTGTCCAATTGATTGGGCAAAACTTGGAATCAAGGCTTGAAACTTGATATGGATAAACTTGGGAGTCCAATATGAAGCAAGAAAGTCATCTTATGCATTTTAGGTCAAAACATCTTTGTGCAAACACAAACCCTAATTTGGGTCAACAGTGCAAGGAGAAGTCTTGAGCAGATGAAACCCTAATTGGATCTTGATCTCCAAGGGCTTGGTGATGAGAAATGTTGAGAAAATGGGAGGGTAAATTTTGGGGTACAACACTCCCCACCAAGCAACCTCACCTAGGTTCCTTCTAGGTTCAGATGCAGTTTTACCCAAACTCCCTATGAAGCAACCTTACCTAGGTTCCTTCTCGTTTCAGAAGCAGTTTTACCCAAACTCCTCACGAAGCAACCTTACCTAGGTTCCTTCTCAGTTCAGATGCAATTTTACCCAAACTCCTCACGAAGCAACCTTACCTAGGTTCCTTCTCGGTTAAGATTCAATTTTACCCAAACTCCCCACGAAGCAACCTTACCTAGGTTCCTTCTCGGTTCAGATGTAGTTTTACCCAAACTCCCTACAAAGCAACCTTACCTAGGTTCCTTCTCGGTTCAGATGCAGTTTTACCCAAACTCCTCACGAAGCAACCTTACCTAGGTTCCTTCTCGATTCAGATGCAGTTTTACCCAAACTCCCTACGAAGTAACCCTACGACCCAGGTTCCTTCCCATAAGCCCTACTATCCAGGCTTTCATCTTGAAGTAACCCTACGACCCAGGTTCCTTCCCATAAGCCCTACTATCCAGGCTTTCATTTTGAAGTAACCCTACTATCCAGGTTCCTTCCCATAAGCCCTACTATCTAGGCTTTCATTTCGAAGTAACCCTACGATCCAGGTTCCTTCCCATAGGCCCACTACAAGAAAATTGGCAGATTGCGACAGGTATTTTTGTAGATTACGACGGTTAAAACCGTCGCAATTTGCTTTCCACGACGGTTGCTTTACCGTCGCAGAAGTGTGTGTCCCCAACCTATTTCGCGACGGTTACAAAAACTGTCGTTCAAGTTTACGACGGGTTGATACCGTAGTGACTATCTTTTGAGTTTCTTTTAATTATTGATGGCGACGGTTCGATACTGTCGTGAATATCTTTTGAAATTGATTAAATTGTTTATGGCGACGGTTCGATACCGTCATGACTTTTGTTGATTACGACGGTTCGGTACTGTCGCCATGACTTTTGTTTATGTCTTGATTTTTATTTTATTTTTCTATTATATATATTTTTTATTTAAATTATTATCTATGTAAAAAATTTTAAATATAGTTTTTTTTTGTGTTATTTTTTTCTTTAAATTATTTCTTCTTTAATATATTTATTTATAGTATTATTTTTTGTTTTATTTTCTATCACTTTGTAATATAGTAAAAATAATTTCAATAAAAAATATTTAACATCAAATAAGCATTATAATATCCAAAAAAATGTGTGTTCCATAATCATGTAAAATGCGAGTTCCATAATCATGTCAAGTAGTACAAAAAACCCAAAATATATCAATTCCTAATCTTATAATAATAAGTATCATTATGCCAAAAATACATGAGAAAGTTCACAATCTAATTATCTCGATCATAGCAAAGTCTAATTTGTCCCCCCTGAAGTTCCATTATCTCCAATACGGTAGCTAGACTCAGATGAACGTCTACCATCAGCGGGTGATTCCAATCCCTAAAAAAAGGTATTAAAATAATAATCTTTAAAATAATACTCATAAAATTTAACTTTAAATGCGTCAAATTAATATACCTGTCTTCCATTGGAATAGAGTTAGCAGTACCTCATGTAAAGGAAGGTTCAACCCAAGTTCAGACGAAGTTGATCGCAAATTGGCAAATCGTCGTAAATCCCTTTCGGCTATACATGGAAGGATATATCCATCTATTTCATGAACCAACAATCAGCATTTCAAACAACTTCCAAATTTTCATCCAAGAGGTAGCATATACCAATTCTTGACTAAGACTAATGACATGACTCGGAGCACAAATTCTTGAGTTACAAGAATAAGCATTTGAAATTAGATAAAGTACCTGTTCTCTCCGAAGGCCATTCGAAGTATACAGCGCATATATGATGGAGCTTAGTACGTTGAAATGGATACTGAGAATGAGCCCTACAGAAATTTTTGCAAATTCTTATTTTAAGTGCGTATCTAATTAGTAACCAGATTCAGAACTATAGCAGATAAACTTTACCATTAACATATAGCTTTCGTAGGTTCTGATTAGTATATTCTAAATTCCAATCAATATTGAGTATAGTAAAGGAACTGGAAGCAATGAATTAAATAACATACTTGAGCACAAAGTCTGAATCAGCTGAGTGGCATTTTGGCTTCAAATAAGCATCAATCACTTGTAAAATGGTATCGTCCTTTCCTATATTATTTTTAGCTCCTGCATAAACAAAAAAGATAGAAAAAATGATTAAAAAAAGTTGCAAAATGGAACTAAAATGCAATATAGATATGACAAGGGTATATATACCTTTTCTTTTTTTCACCCATCCAAGTCCTTCAGAAGCAAATTTTTTTAGAACATCTTTCTCCCCAATTGATTTTACTATCTGACAAGCTAACTCCTACAATACAACCATGGAAACAATCATGCAAAAGCACAAGCAACCATATAATATGTAAATATTTAACCCTGCTAAACAACAAGAGGTGAAAAGGCAAAAAGTAATATGATCATGAAGGATGTGTTTAAGGACTTACCGGACCTAAACCATGAACTCCTTGATGATAGTCACTGCCGAGAAGCAAAGAGAGAGCAATCTGAAGATCATGGGTTACTCGGTTACTGATTTTCACCAGAACAAGAACTCAATACCCTTGAATTTTGAATTGACAAGAAACAACGAAAGATCGTCTAAGAAAACATTGTGACTCTTATGTTAAAACATCAATCAGAAATTTACCAATGAATCCCGTCCCAATCCAAGTTTATTTTCAATCTCTGCCATCTCATAACATACAACATATCCACCATCTCCTAACTCATTAATAAAAAAAATTCTTGTAAGTCATATGAAAGTACAAAAAAATCCTTAGAACTTATACGAAAAATACAATTAGCACAAAAATATATTCAACAATAATATTTAAAAACGAAACCAAATGATATACTCACCAAGGCAGATTTCCCTGTACACTCTCCTTGCACCAAAGAGAAATATATCTGAATCTGAACTGAAACATCCATCCTATAATTCTCAACAATGAATGACAACAATCATGATATTAGCAAACAGCAATAGTACTAGTATCCCAAAAATAACTGATAATTACAAAGTAGACAAGTGCTTACGCATAATGATTCAGAGTTCAACAAAGCACACTGTGCTTCAGCTTCTTCAATCCTGCATTTTCGAAAAAGAGCAAGATGCTATCAGTTCAAATTGGTTAACAATCATCTATTTAACAGGCCCGGTCTACATTGTGCCATTATATTTCCTTGAAATCGCTTGAATAGATGTATTACACTACACAGGGTTTCAGCAATAAAGCAGATATGTAAATATTTTCAATTTCAACTGACTCCTTACTTACGTGCAGATAGAGAACCGGGTGAATTACCAAAACCTTGGTTAAAAGGAGCTCCATTTTGAGAAGCCTTCAATAATATCCATTGTTATTACATGTTAAGGGTAAGACAAATCACTAAACATATTTAGAAAAAACTAGAATTGTAAACTCACTTCAGCTAGAGCACAGGCTTCCTTGAATGAACTTGATTCATCAACATCTTTAAATCTTTCAAAAGCATTCTTCTGCACAGTTTCTTCTGGAGACACATCTACAAAAGCTGCAATAAATAAATATTTATCAGGAAAATTTTAATTCCAGCAAATTTATATGGACACACTTCACAATTTGTTATAAATATGCATTATAGATAGGGATAACATACAAACCAGAGAAATCTAACAAATAAAAACACTAATGTTACCTGTGTTTTTTCTTTCCGCCTATATTGAACATAAACAGCCCAGTCATTTTCAGGAATGCCTCTGCATTTTGGATAATTTTGAAGATTTTCCTCCAAAGGGAGATCCCATCTATTAAAATAACTCATGATGTGTATGTCTTCTTCAGTCTACAAACAAGACTTAAAGTTGCAGGGTAAGAGTGGAGAAGAGTCTCAACTATCTCACCAATTCGGCTGTTCGAATCATGTCATGATGACCTGTTGAGCGAAGTGCCCTGTAGATGACATCTAATTCTTTGAAGGCATCTGCTTCAATGACTACGGCATTTCCTGATGCTCCTGCCCAGAAAGGTCTGTTTAAATTTCATTCATAAAGAAACAACATTAGGTTCTTATAACTGTTTATTTTGACGATTTCATGATGAGTAGTCTTGTACATCAAAACTCTAAAGCTAGATAAACACTAATGATAGTTGAAACAAGAAAACAACACATTTATGAACTTCTTTTTGGAGAATCTAAACTAGTTAAATATTAATATATACTCAAACAATCCATTATGTGCAGACTTTATACAGAATTAAGCTAACAAAGTAATGTTTAGTTTTTGCTCAGAAACTGTAATTTCTTGCTGTAATTCTTACTCTTTGAGAATATCCTTGAGTACAGTGCTCTTGCCAGCTCCCATACCTCCCCCCATTAGAAGAAGGACCGGGCTCCTATCACTGTGAGTACATTGAGAGTCATCGTTTACTGCAATACCCATCGCTTTCATCTCTTCCACTAATGTATTAAAAACACTAGCCACCTTCAGACTCTTGGAAACTCTCTCGAACCTTTGATCCCTGTGCAAAGAATACTATTCACCTTTAGAAAAAAATAACAATTCTTTGGAACATAATAATGATTCTCATCTCATTTTAAAATATATTATACTAGGTGTTCATAAAGAATGTTAGAAATACAAACCTAGTAGCAGCCATAACTATGTTCTTTAGCTTCTTTTTTGGCTCAGAAATGTCCGAGCTCAAAACCTGCAAAGCCAAAAAAATCAGTTTTAGAGAGTGTATTGCTGCTAACACCTCTGATATTTTGTTAATAACTAGATAACCCTGATACCTGACTTATCAATATGTCACAATGGTTCCAATGAAATCCAAAGTAACTAAGAATGCATCTCTCAAACTCTTCCACCAACTTGACATAAAGTGAATCAGCATCTGGTTCATTCTCAAAATAGGCATATATATCATCTTCAAACCCTTCATATTTGCTTATGTATTCAGAAGCCAATCTACATATATCAGGACCGATTCTCCTATCCTTGAACCCCATTTGCCTAGCTGTAACAAATCAAAGAAAATGACATATAGATTCATTCCAATTTCCAAATGATAAAATAATAACGGATCCATCAATGTATGTAATTGAATAGAATACATATTTTTTTGTATACATACGTAATGAGAGAATCTTTCAAGCTTTGGGGGGTGACCTGCACGCGATAATCTTAAACGCGAAATGATCTTTTGATCTCGAATCTTTTTGAGATGATAACGCAATGCTATGAAAAATATCAACCCAATAGATGAGATTACCAAGATCTGTGTAAAGCTGGGTTTAGCATCATAATATGAATCAACATTGGATTGTGTGATGTTAATACAATGTCGAATATTTGTAATGAAGGAGTTTTCCAAACCAACCTCCTCACAGACACAGTGACAGGAAAGTTACACACAAAACATGAGTATCAAATACTCCCATGGTCTTAATTCCTCAGTCCTCACATTGCAATCAGGTAGAATAAATAAATGAATGTATGTTAGAAAACATGCATATATTTCTCAAAACAAGAGAATCTCATCTAAGACTATAACCCTATAAACAAAAAGTGTGATCATTTTGCTGCAGATCTGAGTAGATCACAAATTTAGTACCAGACCTCAAGTTCAAAATGTAGTAGTAATAATAATGCATTATGCATATACATGATGTTAATTTTATGCATGCTTCTACCTTATAATGTAGCATAGTTGCTTCAAAAGAGAGAGGCTAATGCTACATTACATAATAACATGGCACTTTCAAATTTCTTTGTCTTCTAAATGCAAATTCAAATAGGTAAACAACAAACTGATTAATACCAGATCATCATCATCACGGATAAGTCCCTTATCGCTTCCTTCTCGTTCCCTGAGTAATTTATTTTCTTCTTCAAGTTGAGCACAGCGCGCTTTAGCAAATGCTAAATCCGCTTTAACGGTTTTTAGCTCACGAAGAAGTAATTTTGCTTTTGCTGCTGTTGCCAATGCCACCTGAAATCAAAACAAAAGAAAATGTAGCTTGTTTGGTTACATAAGAATTTAACAGAACTTGGATAGTAGAATATGTATGTTCCATATGTGAACTAAATTTAAATTCATCACATGAGAGGGACTAAGAACAGATTCTACTAAGTTAAAATGTATTAACAATTCCAAAATCATTATAAGATGTTCTATCATCTATGCCTACACTATAACAACTAACGAGACTGCAACCATTATACATGATTACACAGTTGGCACCTTACGTCTCGGGATTGCTTAAGTTGTGTTTCATGATTAGAATGAGACTGTGTCTGATCTGATTGCTGCCATGGATTCCTTATACTTGAAGCTTGGTTTGTGTCACCTTTTCGCCTGATTTGAGATCTCAGGTCTGCTGTCTTACTCTCCACCATTGTTCTTCCATCCTGAGGAAATCAAAGAAGTTACATTGAAGATATATAACAATCATCGATGCGCACTATCAAACACATGAAATTCAGATAAACACATCAACAGATAGATAGATAGAGTTACCTCATAAGCCTTCTCACTGATGTTGTTTCCTGACTATTTGAAGAAGAAATGCTAGCAAAAGTATGCACAGTAGTAAACTTGAATAGCTTGAATATACAAAGATTCCAAATTTAGTAAAACATAGAGGTAACGGGAGCAAATGGAAATTACAATGATGGCAACAATGTGAATGAACACGCGGCTCCTTGTAGAGGGAGCTGAATATTCAAAATTAAAGTCTAGAAATTCATGATTAGCAGGAAACAATGCTATGAACTGATGATTATTGAAACCAACTCTTGGAATTTCCCAGTTGCCCCTGAAAGATAATTAACAATCTTCTATCATCATTTGATCCGTAGAAAAGGAAATTAACTAAAGAATAAATAATTAAATACCTATAGTGAAACAAAGGAGCTTGAGGAGCAGTGTAGCCTTTAAATTGCTGCATTCAACAACACAATCAACAAAATAGAGGGGAACATAATTAAGCATTTTTTTCGTACAAATTTGAATAACTTATATGTTGAGTAAGACAATAGAAACAAAGTGCAGACCTGTTGGCAAATCTCACAAGTAGTATCACCTTTCTCATTGCACCATCTTTGCACACATATTCTATGAGCATACTGCAATGTACCAGAACAAGAACAAGGTGTATCCATGTTTAAGTCTTCATCTTCATCGTGACATATTCGACATTGTACCAACGTATTAGGCGAACATGACTCAATTTGATCAACCATTTAGAATGGAAAAAAAAATCACATCAACATTGTTTGACCATAGAGTTGTAATCCTTAAGATTTAGGATGAAGTAATCAATCAACAAAATCAAACCAATATCAAAATCAAAAGCACTAGAAAATATTTTCTTTTGAAAAATTATAACTACAATATAGACCAATTTCATTATATGAGTAGTTGCTTTTAGTTGTGTTTGCCTAAGGTAGTAGGTTTGGAAAAGGTAACAGAAGAAAGGAACTTTAATTCCACATACTCAAGAAAGGTATTACTGTTTAGCAATTTGAAATTCAAACACAAACATTAACTACAAAAAAAAAGTATATATGAATCTTGGGATTGCCTATGAATATTGACATTGGAATATCAAAAATATTTCTTTCCATTAAATGAATGGTGGTCCAAATGTTGTGATGAAACCTTCCTTCAAATAAAATACCAAACTTCAAGCTTTTATTTTTCCTTTGTCTTCAACTACCACCAAAACAACAATTCAACACGATCAATTTAGGATTCAACAAGTCCTTGAAGTATCACACAATATTTAAAAGAGACAATATCTTGTAAACACAATACCGACTTTAAGGATTCAACGAAGTCCTTGAGATCTCAGGTCTGCTGTCTTACTCTCCACCATTGTTCTTCCATCCTGAGGAAATCAAAGAAGTTACATTGAAGATATATAACAATCATCGATGCGCACTATCAAACACATGAAATTCAGATAAACACATCAACAGATAGATAGATAGAGTTACCTCATAAGCCTTCTCACTGATGTTGTTTCCTGACTATTTGAAGAAGAAATGCTAGCAAAAGTATGCACAGTGACCTTCCCCTGCACTGAATTCCGTGCATGTATTACTTATGAATGCCTCTTCAGACATGAGTGCAAAACATTGAAATACATTCAATTTGCATGGAAATTTTCATTATAACTATGTCGATTCAACTTCAATTTCAATATAATTACATACATTTCATTCAAGTACATCATAACCTAATAACCCTATTTCTGGTAAGCAAAAATCATATTCATAAGATTACCAGATTTTAGATTTTGGTGAGATTTAGAAGCAGCCCTGGTGACATGAGAGGATGAAGAGTTAGCAGAAACACGAAAAGTCCCAAAAGCGAAAGGCTTTCTTCTTGTGAAGACGTTTTTTGAGGAGGAATGTCCCAGAAGCAGAGGTTTAGGGGAAGAAACAAGGGCTAAGTTAAGATTCTCCATTTCGAAGGTATGAAAACCGAAAATTGACGAAACTGAGAAATTGGTGGTGGTTGTGAGATGAGGAAGCGAAAGAGGTTTGAAAATTTTGGGGGAACTGAAGATAGTTGAGAGTGGTCTGTGGCGGAATGAGAGTTTGGGTTTCGGGTTCCTTGTTTGCGGTAGGGACAAGTGAAAAATAGCAATTTATGATTTGGAACTTGGATTGCTAGAGAATATACTAGCAAATAAAATGCAAGGTAAAAAAGTTTTTTAAAATGGGAAAAATGAAACACTGGTCTTTTAAAAATATAAAAAGAAAAATCAAAATCTACTTATCAAAAAACTCCATAAAAGTCCATGTGAGTTACCTCACTTGGATGGGATATTCCTAGATCTTAGTAAATATGAGTGGTTAGGGTGGCTCACGGTGGTAATAAACTTTATTTAGTGATATTTATAATGTTTACGGAGTAGAAAATGAATTGATGTTTTATGTATTTTAAGAGCTTTTTAACTTTTTTACGGCGACATGTGTTTTACCGTCGTGCCCATGAGAATTTTTAAAGGTTTTGGGTGCGACGGTTGTTTTACCGTCGTGAAATGAATTTTAGGACGGATAATTTTACCGTCGTGAAAGGTTTAAGGGTGCGACGGGTGCTTTACCGTCGTGATATGCCTTTTAGGACGGTTAATTTTACCGTCGTGACTAGTTGTTGGTGAAAAATCAATGTTAAAAGTGTTAAATGGGGGCCGACGGTTGTTTTACCGTCGTAATAATAATATTATGATGGTTAAATATACTTTCGCAAAATAAATATTAGGGACGGTTGGTGTCAACTGTCGTAAACACTGTCTCTATATGTCAATTACGACAGTTATCACATAACTGTCGCAATTTTTGTGTCGTTAAACACTAATTTTCTTGTAGTGGCCCTACTATCTAGGCTTTCATCTCGAAATAACCCTACCATCCAGGTTCCTTCTCATAGCCCTACTATCCAGGCTTTCATTTCGAAGTAACCCTACTATCCAGGTTCCTTCTCATAGCCCTACTATCCAGGCTTTCATTTCGAAGTAACCCTACTATCCAGGTTCCTTCTCATAACCCTACTATCCAGGATTTCATTTTGAAGTAACCCTACTATCCAGGTTCCTTCACATAGCCCTACTATCCAGGCTTTCATTTCGAAGTAACCCTACTATCCAGGTTCCTTCTCATAGCCCTACTATCCAGGCTTTCATTTCGAAGTAACCCTACTATCCATGTTCCTTCTCATAGCCCTACTATATAGGCTTTCATTTCGAAGTAACCCTACTATCCAGGTTCCTTCTCATAGCCCTACTATCTAGGCTTTCATTTCGAAGTAACCCTACTATCCAGGTTCCTTCTCATAGCCCTACTATCCAGGCTTTCATTTCGAAGTAACCCTACTATCCAGGCTTTCATTTCGAAGTAACCCTACTATCCAGGTTCCTTCTCATAGCCCTACTATCCAGGCTTTCATTTCAAAGTAACCCTATTATCCAGGTCCCTTCTCATAGCCCTACTATCCAAGCTTTCATTTCGAAGTAACCCTACTATCCAGGTTCCTTCTCGTAGCCCTACTATCCATGCTTTCATTTCGAAGTAACCCTACTATCCAGGTTCCTTATCACAGCCTTACTATCCAGGCTTTCATCTCGAAGTAACCCTACTATCCAGGTTCCTTCTCTTTTATCTCCGGACAACAGTTTACAACATTGTAAAACCTAGACCCGACCAAATACGGTCGATTTCACATTTCCCCTGTAAGTCATTGTGAAGCCTGGAATACGACCAGATAACAGTCAACCTTATCATCCTCAACCAATCATTGTGAAACCTAGGTCCTGACTAGATAAGCAGTTCACTTCCATCTCCTCAATCAATAGATGACTCCCCAGTAGAATAACTGACAACTGAAGCTCCTAGACTCTATTCCCCAAGACAAAGACCAACATTCCTCTGTGAACTCCTCCCTAACAATAGGAACAGGAATTCCCATAAAGGAATATCTCACGAAATCATCATTATTGTGGATGGCATCTTTAAGCCCATCTCCGACGACTCTCCATCACATTCTCAAGATGGCGTCTTTAAGCCCATCTCCGACGACTTTCAGTCATCTTCTTAAAATGGCATCTATAAGCCCATTCCCGACATTATCTATATAGTCAAACATCATTACAGACGAGTGCAAATTTCTAGGCACTCTAGTGTTCAATCATCTTCCACCTTTAGATCACGAAAGGCAGACAAGCCAATCTAAATCTTCAGGTTTAAGAAGATTGAACAGGGGCAGCTGTTGTACCCCAAAATTTACCCTATTTATTTTCATACACGCATATCATTGGTTTTGTGGTTATGGAATAAAGTTATATTTAGAAAGCTTCTCCAGGTTACAAGTGACGTTTATTTTGTCAATGGATGTTCTCAGAGTATTTTCCGTGCTGAAGATCGGTTCGCCGTTTTGCAACGATTCGGGGTTCAAATATTCACAAGTCCAACCCGGCGCGTCATATTCAGGTGTTCTTTCGCCAAGATATCCCTGATAACATATTATCAAATTCGAGTTCATCTAGAGAGCCAATTCTTTAAAGAAGGTCTCCGAATGTGTGAGTTTTCTCGAAGAAATGTGGTGAAAAAGTGTGTTGAAAGTGTAGTTTTTACGCACTAAAAAATTCATAACTTGAAGATCGTGGATCATTTTGAACCCGTTCCGGTTGCCAAAATTCCATATTGACGTCAACTAAGTTTCCATCTGTCATGGATGGAAGCCAATTTCGATCTGAAGGTCTTCAAGAATGCGGGTTTATCTAGTATTTTTATACAGAAAATTTGTGACAGAAGTTTATTTGTGTCATGTTCAGAAAATCATAACTTGGTCGATTTTCATCGTATTGAGCTGGTTCTGGCGCCAAAATTTCAAAAATTGAGTTGACTATGTTTTCACAAGAGGTATCGAGTTCGAACGATATCCAAAAGGCCTTTGTTTTTTCCCAGAGTGCGCGTGACGCGGCGAAAATCCTGAATACTGAATATTATTTCATCTGGGTCGAAACTTCGAAAATTCATAACTCGGTCAATTTTTATCGGATAGGGTCCATCTTTTCACACAAGGTCACTGACTCAGAGATTTACAACTTTGCTTCCAAAGTCGAGATTGGGTTCTGCTCCAATCAATACCAGTTTATTATTGAAGAACGTGTCAGAGTTGACACTGGAGCCCAAAATAAGTTTGTCTGAGACAAAACATCAAAAATTTATAACTAATTCACCGTTTATCCAATTGAGCCCATTTTCAGACAGGAGTTATTTCTTGATGTCGCCTACATTTTGTTTTCACATTTCAACTTCAAAAATTGCACTTAAGCCCCTAAAAGTTAGCCTGAAACGTGACGGACTCAAGTGAATAAAAATCTGCACTATTGTTTGTGGTTATTGGAGGCCCATATCTTTTCTCTAATTTCCATGATATAATCTCATTCTTTTCACACAAACGGAGAGGAAAAAAACCTTTTCCACAACCCTATCAAAATATCAAATTCTTTCAAGAACCCTAAAAATCGTGAAATTCTTGTTACAAACCCACATCTCACTACTTCTCCAGTAAGGGTTTATTACAGAACGTTGATGCCAAAACACTAAAACGGAACAACAATCAATGCATGGCTCATGGCAAGGCAGGCATCCTGAGAAGGTTAAGAGCGTGGGTTCAACACCCACCCCTATTGGTTTTGGTTTTCTTCCTTTTTATTTATCCTTTTACCTAT